GCTGGATGTACAATAACCTGACATCTTAACACCACTTTTTACTTTTTACAAAGCAGATCACAGAATATATATTTTGTCTATAGCCTATAAAACAGCTTCGTAAATAGGAAGATTTCAATACATGAGGATTCTGAATGAGATTTTTTTTACCAAGCCATTAAATTACTTGAGACTCGACTCGGACTCGTGACCAAACACTGGAGACTTGACTCAGACTCCAAGTTAAAGATTTGTGAACATCTCTGCTTCAAGCTTTATATAACATATGTAATAATGTTATATAAATAATCACAAAAAATATTCCTTATACGGTGAACATTTTTATATGCCTTTAAAATGGGATTTATGCATAACATTATGTATATCAGGATACTTAATATAAGACAAAAATAAATACAAACAAAATGAAGCAGTCTGATGCAACCCACAAGGTTTATTTAAACATTATCCAATGTGGAGGACAAAATAAACATTAAATAAAATAAATAGAAGCATTTAAACTCCAACATGGAGAAGTCTGAGTCTGATGCAACCCACAAGGTTTATTTAAACATTATCCAATGTGGAGGACAAAATAAACATTAAATAAAAAATTTTTTTAACTCATAAAAGAACTAATTGGAGTAGTTTGATGCAACTCATTAGGTTTAATTTAACATTGTCCAATGTTAGATAGAGGACAAAATAAATAGAAACATTTAAACTCCAACATGGAGAAGTCTGAAGTAACATAAGGTTTAATATGGTCCAATATAAGACTGAAGAGTAAAAAAGAAATGGAAACATTTAAACTACTGAAAGAACAAAACAGTTCGGTCACGGTTATCCACAGGCGCTGAGGATAATCCGCGGGTCGGGTAATAAAAAAACGCATTCTGATTATTTGTGGGTGGGTCACAGGTGGATAAAATAAATCATAAATGATGCAAATATTAACAAAAAATTTTTTTTTTAATAATTTTTTTTTTTCATCAGGCAGACATTTCATTTGTGTGTGTGTGTCTTTGCCTGATCGGGAAGTTGCAGTGACAGAAACGGTGACATTCCAGATAAAGTTTGAAAGGAGTAAAGCCTGTGTTAATGCTATTGAGTAGGCTAATATGGCCAAATAAGATATTTTGTTATATAAATAAATGTTAATTTAAAAGCAGCCCACGATCAGCGTATTATTTTACCGTTATCCCTTACGGCTTCGACGAGGTTTTGTTCCGTCCTCTACGCTATGACAACTCACAAAAGATTATTTTAGCCAAGCAGCGCGGAGAGCTGCTTCAGAAACGTGCTGCGGCTGGCCGGTATAAATACAAGCACCGACTAGAGCGGCCGCGATCAGCTCTGGTGGTCTGCAGTGAGGCGCAGATCAGCTCTAACATCACTGAATCTGCTGTGAAAAATGAACCATCCATTCATCGTATCATCATGCCAAACATACACGACAAATTCATTTTTCATTGTTTCTCGAAATGTCATAGCATTTCCACACCGGCGATGACATGACTGCAGCGCCAAATCATTTATGTCCTAATGTACGTCGTCACACGTTGACGTCATCAAATTGCGATCGGTTCGTGAGATCAGCCAAGTTAGTGAGTACCGATCGAGTCATAAGATGTGATTATCGGCCGATACCGATCTCCGGCCGATCGATCGGAGCATCCCTATGTGACACTAAAGAATAGAGTAAGGCCTGCTGAAAATTCAGCTTTCCCATCACAGGAATAAGTTACAATTACATGTTTTTACTCAAATAAATAAAGCCCTGATGAGCATAAGAGACTTCTTTCAAAAACATTACAAAATCTTACCAAAGACTAACATGTTCATATGACTATTTTCATAGTACTCCAAGGCACTTCAAAAGAATACCTACCATGCTATTCTTCTGAAGTGCCTTGGAGTACCATGAAAATGTCAAAATAATGATGCATTGTGTGATATGTTAGAGTGACAATTCAACTAAATAGATTTAATGGTGTGGCATGTCTTTTAACTCTTTCCATCATAAGCGTTTTCCCCTTTCTCTGCCCTTCAGGCAGCTGTGGCAGCAGTCAGAGATCGGTGTGAGGTGGCCCAGAGTTCAGGTGTGTTCAGGTGCGCTCTTCGCTCAGGTGTTCCCCGTGCTCTGATGTAGTGCCGTTGCTATGGTTCCCCTCGGCATTGGGTTACCCTGGGTCTGATCTACTCTACTACCCTACATGTAGAGGGAAAGAGCTGATAAAAGAGCCCACTTGACTGGCCATTCAGGACGGGTGTGCAGGACACACACGAGAGGAAGAGGCTACTGTTACACAACGCCAGATGCTGGGATAAAAACCTTGGATGCTTTTGAGAGCATTTAGACAACGCCAACAATGTGTGCGAACTGAGCGTTCTCATATTGGTGTCCAGACATTACATAAATAAATAGCAACACAGCAAAAACACATGAACTTTTATTAAAACCATACCAAACTATTATAAACACAAGTATTCTCTCTGGATTCCAGGACTTCTGAACTCTCTGCTCACACAAGCAGGAGTAGATGTTTTTAAATCGCTCTTCTTCACAGGTGACACAAATAGGGCCTATTAGGCCCCATTAGGAGATTATGAGGTGAGAAAAGAGCAGAGACCTGTGGTGCCCCAAGGCCTCATGGAGGTGTAGAGTTTCCAGCCCACTGCTCACCCTAATGAACACACACAAACTCTTAATGCTCAGATTATGGCATAGATAGTGTAGAGCCCCAGGCGAGAAAAAGGGTGGTCTGTGCGTGTTTTATATCACTTGACACATCCAGGGATAAGGATGGGAAGGGTGTTTTTGTAGTTTAGTATAGTTTGAGGACAAATTTGATTTATAAAGCTAGTTAAAAAGTTAATTAATTAATTCCAAAATTATTAAGATTAAAATTTTTTTGTTCCTAAATGTCTTATGCTCTGCAAGGCTGAATTTATTTAATCAAAAACACTGAAAGACAGTAATTTGTGAAATATTATTACAATTTACAGTATAACACCGTGTCCTAACTACACGCGATGCCACGACACGCGATAAAGGCTATCTTTTCCATGTTAATCGAAGGTTTTGTCCTAACTAGCCGCGAAAAACGGTTTCTAATTCCGCGACGTCACGGCTGGAACAACAACATACAAAACATAAGACGGTGATAATCTCAGGTACTGATTGTGTGCTTTATTCAAAGTTAAACGTATTTAATGTGAGTTTGAATGCCATATTGCGTAGCATTTATAGCCATACTGAAAGCAACAACAGATAGTTTACCTCAGATCTTGAAAATAAATAAAAGCAAAGATGTACGTTAAAACGTGAACTCGCTGCGAACCAACAAGCGTATTCCATAACAAAGATGGTATCAGCGACTCAGTATGTACATTTAATAGTGTTACAAAGGTTTAATATTTATGAATTAGATTATAAATTATCCATTTCGTTGTGAGTGCAGAGCTCTTCCAGAGAGAGCCCGCCCACACACGCTTCTGATTGGCTGTGATATTTGATTGATCCTGTCGCGTCAAGTGTGGACACCCAAATTGCTTATCGCTGGAATCTTGTCACGTCGCATGTAGTTAGGACACCTAACAAGTGCAAGAGCCACTTTCTATTTAAATATGTTTGAAAATGTAATTTATTCCTGTGATGCAAAGCTGAATTTTCAGCATTACTCCAGTCTTCAGTGTTGTAGCGTCTGGACCAATCAAAAACACAATTTTTCATTTGATTTAACAAATCAGTTATTCATTAGATTAACAAATCGTCACTGGTTTTATGGCCCCAAAGGAATGTGAGTAGCGAAAATTACTACCTCTCCATAGGAAGAGACACAATGCACAGTAGAAATTGACTTTTCTACTAATTAATTAATAGGAAAACCTTTCTTTGAATGAACACACATATCCTACAGGTCATTGTGTATGTTGTCTTTGAGATTTTATACTGTTTTATGCAGGCTTATGATGGAACCACTCGTTCCTGTCATCTTACCTATATGTAATCCTACCATGTTTAGTTATAATTAATTATAACTAGTTATGATTAATTATTCATATTTCCCCATGAGCTGATGTCCAGCGCGTGTTGCGGGTTTTCATGTGTAGTTTGTGCATGATGACAAATGTGACCCTGGACCACAAAACCAGTCATAAGGGTAAATTTTGATCGAAATTGAGATTTATACGTTATATGAAAGCTAAACAAATAAGCTTTCCATTGATGTATGGTTTGTTAGGATAGGACAATATTTGGCCGAGATACAACTATTTGAAAATCTGGAATCTGAGGGTGCAAAAAAATCTAAATATTGAGAAAATCGCCTTGAAAGTTGTCCAAATGAAGTCCTTAGCAATGCATATTACTAATCAAAAATTACGTTTTAATATATTTACAGTAGGAAATTTACAAAATATCTTCATGGAACATGATCTTTACTTAATATCCTAATGATTTTAAATCAATAATTTTGACCCATACAATGTTTTTTTGGCTATTGCTACAAATATACCTGTGCTACTTATCAAATGTGGCAATACTCTTCAGATTTATGAATGTTTTTACTTTAGTTACTGTCGCTACTGTTACAGGTGATAGACACAAACAGAATGATCTTGACTCCTTTTGCACATTCATACAGTAGTTGAGCTGCTATTTTAAGCTGCTATGTGAATAAGACACTTTGAGGCACTGCAAGTAAATGTGGCTGTCAAAATCTCAAACACTGAGAGTGTGAATATAGACTAACATGCAGATTTAGTGCTCAAATTATCAATGTCGAAAACTGTTGTGCAGCTTATTATTTTGGTGTAAACCGTGATACTTTTTTTTTTTTTCAGGATTCTTTGATAGAAAGAAAGTTAAGATAGATAGAACATTTTTGTAACATTAGAAATGTCTCTGCTGTCACTTCTGATCAATTAAAAAAATTCTTAAAAAAAGGCAAAAAACAGTAGTGTAAATAAGCAAAACTTTGTTGTTACCCAAAACGTGTTTGTACTGTATGTCTTACCTCTCCTGACATATCCGGGGCCAGAGGAATCAGGGGCCATATTGAGGAGTAGATGCCAAAAAAGACTACCCACAATCCAATGCTGCCCCAGATGGCAATGTGGCTGAACTATAAGCCAGAAAAGATTAGAGAAAACACACAGTGAGTTGAGTAGAGACGTCATTCTGCTGATAATACTTGGCAGCCTGACACTCAAACAGCACAAAACCTCATCTGAAAGATGTAATATAATTTTAGACTAGTGACATTCATAACAACAACCCTTAACACACATGAATTTGACATGAACACATGCTAAATCACAAGTTTGCACATATGGGAGCATGTTACACCCATGTGTTTTTGTTTAATCACATGATCATCAAGCATTTGAGGCTTGAAATTTGCACAAGTGAAACATTGGAACCACATGTGAATGTTCCGAAACCACATGAACATCATGTGATTTTGTGAAAATTATACTTCCAAAATACAGTGCAGTGAAAAAGAGTGGATTTTTTTAAACGCATGTCAAATTTTACTATGGCATAAGTATATACAGTAGCATACATTCACACTAATAGTCAAATGTTTGGAATAATTAAGATTTTACAGTTTTTTAAAGAGGTTTCTTATGCTCACCAAGACTGCACTTATTTGATTAAAAATACAGTAATAGTGTGAAATATTACTACAGTTTAAAAGAACTGTTTCCTGTTTGAACATATTTTAAAATGTAATTTATTCCTGTGATGGCAAAATTTACTTTTAAATTATTACATTTTAAAATTCAAACTTCAAAGAGAAAACAGTTCTTTTAAATTTAAATAATATTTCACAATATTACTATTTTGACTGCACTTTGATTTAAAGGGGTCATATGATGCGATTTAAATTTTTCCTTTCTCTTTGGAGTGTTACAAGCTCTTGGTGCATAAAGAAGATCTGTAAAGTTGCAAAGACTAAAGTCTCAAATCCAAAGAGATATTCTTTATAAAA